CACCCCCACCTCCCCCCCCCCCCCCCCCTACACACACATATACTAAGCAAACTGATCAGCATTCGTATTTAGGAATATGAAAATATATTCAACATCCTAGAGGACTGATTATTCGAGATCAACAGCCACTAGCGATGTGTCTAGAATTTCCCCAAAATTGATTGTACTGTTGTTCGAACATAGTGCACAATGGCTCATGTGTATTGTAAAATATAGTCACTTAGGCATAGTGATTATACAAAAAATAAATGCTTGGTGAATTAGTCGATGTTTCCTTATGGGCAGCTATTCGTTAGTCTTAATGCAAACTGTAGATTTTTATTAAAGTTTTTTTAACTCTTTCTAGAATTGTACTTATTAGTCTGAAGAAAAACTATATTTTATCCTCTAGAAGACATTCATTCTCTTGTATCAACCAGACTCCATTTAAGAGAATATTTGTCTGAGAAAAATTTGTGCGTTTCGCTATAAAAAGAGAACTCAGATGAATTGATTTCAATACACTACAGTCAAATGTTTTGAGAAACTTCACGTTTAAGTAAACAATATTGTCTTCAAGTCTCATAAAAGGGTCTTGTTGTATAGAAAAATGGCACATCGATGCTCTGGTATTGATGTCGAACCGTGAAAGACATTCAGATATTGTTCTCTTCCAGGAAATACGTGAAACTTTCAAATATTTTAAGATCATAGATAAACCTTCGTTTTCATATGGAAAACACGAAAGTAATTAAGAAATGTCTTGGCTAAAGAAAGACTAATTTAGGTCTTATCTGACAGCAGTTTGGAGATGATAATAATTTTCTTTGCAATTATAGAATCGAAGCATTTCATAGGTGCGATGTAATATATTATATCTGTTTCTAGATTTCCAACATATTTTTTACTTTAGATCGAGTGAATCAAATATTCTTGTTAAGAATTATAATAAATAGCAAATATTGAAATACTTACGGTTAAACTTGGTATGACAAGTAATTGACCTTTGACAACATCATTTATTCTTCTTTGTAGAACAACAGCTTGTTCAGTTAAATGTTTAAGCACTTGAGCACTTTCGCGTGTTCTTTCGTGTTCATCACCAAGCTACGGAAATGATGAAAAATGAACGATACAAATCAATTACGATACTTGATAAGTTCATTTTTACTTGTAACTTATAGATTTGATAAGCTTCACGTTCACTGTTCAATGCTGATCGAAAATCTCCACGACATGATTGAATACGTGCACAAAGATGATGTGATAGAGCTACTTTAAGACTCTTTGTTCCATAGAAACTAAAAAGAAAATAGTGTTAAAAAATTTAACGACCAAGCTCGAGTAACGGATCAGATTTCAACACGAAACTCTATTGGTGCAATATCTCTATTAAAAATAGGCGAAACAAACTCTCAACTAATTCATGGCAAGTAATATTCTGTTGAATAATCGTTCTTAAAATTGAAATTGAATAGATTTCATGCTGATTTGAAATAATGGTTGGCCGTACAAAGGCCGAAAGGAAAAATACCGAAAGAAAAACACCGAAAGAAAAATATCGAAAGGAAAAAATGTCGAACGAATAAATGTCGAAGAGAAAAATGTCGAAAAGGAAAAATGTCGAAAACAGAAAAGATAGAAAAAAAGGGACGTCTCTACTAAATGAAGGTTCTAATAGTTTATTGTTCATTGTTGTTAATCTGATTATTCCAGTGGTTTGACACTGTTAACCATTGATACTATTAATACTATTGATAAGTAATATCTTATGAAAACTAGCTAAAATGGGCGTAAAATAGTATACAACGATTAAAATTCTATCATGATGACTACAGCTTGCTCATTTTTATCTGGTGACAATCATCCGCCAACTCCAGTTATTTCATTTATTCAGTCGTAAAAAGGAAAACCTTTCCTTGTATCAGATAAATATATTTTCAAAATGAATAAAACAACAACAACTAGTAAATATTGGATATGTATATCTTTCTTTGTAACTCTCATTTATCTATGACTTATGCTATGATGCTATTATGATTTCAAGAATAAAAACATCTTAGTGCAAATTTTCGACATTTTTCCTTTCGTCATTTTCGACATTTTTCCCTTTCTATATTTTTTCTTTCGATATTTTTCCCTTTCGACATTTTTCCTTTCGGTCTTTCTACGGCACACCGAAATAATGACTGCAATAGGAAACGCATTTATATGTGCTTAACGTCGCGCTTCTTTTTAAGATCATGAATATTTTTGAATACAAGATAATTTGTTTTATTGATCATTCTGGCAAGCAAATAGCATTTCAACTATACTTTCTGATGATCATTGTAGTGAACCTAGTCTGCAATATTGATCCATGCGAAGATCAATAGCAATATTCAATCATTCAATTCGAAAATTCATTCTGTTCATTCATATATGTTTTTGATTAGGAGGTGTCAAAAGAAAAAAAGTAAAGGAATATCTTACATTTTGTTTAGTTGAAGAGATTTTTCCATAAATTTTAAAGCATTTTCATAATCACCATATGATTGTAAAATTAATCCAAGATTACTCTATTCAAAGTTTTCCAAAGTAGATATTCAAAACATATACAATTGAAAAGAAATATAGATACTTTTTCTTACATCGATAAGACTAATTTGTGGATGATTTTCACCACAACATATGAGTATAATATATCGAGCACGACATAGTAATTTCGATGCATTTATTGAAAGCCCATTCGCAAATGAATATAATGCCATGTGAATCTAGATAGAAGTAATTTTCGGTTCACATTGTATACTATACTGACACTTACATATTCTGTTGCTGTTTGTGGATGATCAATACCTAAAACTCGTTCAGACATCATAACAGCTTTATGTTGTGTCATGAGTGCTTCTTGATAGTCTCCCATAATATAATTCAATCGTGCAAGCAATCTTAAACACATACTGATTTCCGGATGCATTGGTCCATAAACATTATTTAATAAGTTATGTGCTTCAGATATTAAATCAAAGCCTTCACGAAGTAAGCCTTGTTGAATTTTTTGTTGTCCACTTGTAAAAAATTGATAAGCATCACTTGGCTAATAGAAAATTAAAGAAATAATAATTGAAATTTATTTATCTATTGTTTAGTTTTCTACTTTTGGTGGAACATGTTTTATTATTGGATAAATATTGATGATATCAAGCTCATTAAAGCATTCATTATTGAAACGTGATGTTTTATTCAGGAATTCAAATTGATATTCACGCATAGTTATTTGTAAGCCAGATTTTCGGCAAAATGAACGTAGAATACATGTGCGACGAACAGAATATTCGTGAATGAAAGATTCAATATCATCACTAAAAATAACATATGTGGGTGAAAAGTGTAATAGAAGAATTTTAAAATTTGGAAACACGAAAACATTTTTATATCCCTAGCTTAGTCCTTACCGAGCATAATGAGTGAAACAATCTTTCACATGTCTCAGCACTACAATTGTCTTCGGTGAAAAGAAGACAGAATGATTTAACAAAAGTAAAATAGTCTCGCTTTCGATTTTCAAAAATACAAATCATAGAAGGTACAATCTCCATTTTGCTGCATCTATAATCCTAGTACTCCACATATACTCTCGCGGTAGTTGTCATACCCAAGTGTGATATAATCGTCGATTAGATAACTTGAGGAATATGTAAGATGTCATATGTGCAGAGTTTGGAGCGAGTACTCAGGATATAGAAGTTCATTGAAATTAGGAATAAATTGAGTTTTCAAAAGCATCTAGGACTTCAGTATCTCATCAAAGCACGAATCCAACTACCTGATATATGCATATCCTATTAATTTAACATAGCACATGGCATGTGTCGACAGACGCGACTCGATATTCCGATTCATAAATATAGATTAAAATCTGTCTCAACCTATTTTGTTATAGTCAGTTACGATAAACTAAGCATCAATACTTTGACAAGAATACAAATTTAAAAGAGATCTGACGCCTTTCTGTAAAGATTTTCACATCAATTTTCTAAAATGAAAAGAATCAACAGATCAAACTCCATGAAATTGGCTGCATACTTATGTATGGAATTAAATAAGTTTACAGTGCCTTACCAATTTAAATCAAAACTATATCTTGATTTTGCTTCATTCGTTAATTGTGACCAAAGTACTTCTGACGTTAATGATGAAAATTCTAATGATTCTAAAAAGATGTTAATTTTCTTATATTTTAGCATTTTTCTTCTTTAAAATATTAACCATTTCTTATAGTTGGAATATATTTACGTTGTTGCTGCTTTTTATTTTTATTTTTATTTTTAGAATTTGTTTTTTGAGATGAAATATTTGTTGAATTTGACAACAATACATTTGGTGCATTATTCGTTGACTGAGAAGATAATGCTGATAATTCATCGAATGAATTATCTGTCGTAGGTGATGATATAATTGTTAGGAAACAATTAAGAAAATGACTTATTGAAAATGACAAAAGATGAGTCGGCACTGATTGTAAGTATGTACGGAATACATGTTTTGCACTTCGACAAAGAATTTCAGTAGCAACTATTTCCTAAATAAATTTAAGAAAATTCAATACGATGAATACAAAACTAAGTTATTGATTTACGTATATGTAACCAAGAGAAGGTTGTTGAGTAACAACTTGAGCTACTCGACCAAGATAACGAATATTGATTCCTCTAAATAAAACAAATAAATATTGATTAATTTCAGTTCATCTATGGATTCAACCAAACAATTGAATATCGGACGCATGAAACAATTCTATTAGATGAGCAATCTCGTCTTCTATTGATCTGCACAAGTGACTTTCATACTGTAGTTTTATCATGAAAACATTCGACGATAGTTGACAAAAGAAAATCGACTATTTTTTTAATGGACTAACTAGCATTCGAAGTTACTTTTTAATGTTGATTTAAAACTTAAATGCCAGATTCTAGATAACACTGTATTGCAGTTGACAACTCCAATGAAATAGCTGTAATTTACGGAGTGGTGTCACATATCCAAAATTTTGGAGATGCCACCACATCTCCCACAGGAGATGTCGCGTCTCCCGCTGGAGACGTGACACCCACAGTCGGGAGATCCGGTCATTCACCACTGGAGATATAAGATCTCCTTTAGAGATGCGCATCCCCCACACCAACACCCACATCTCTCGCGCGAGATGCGGCGTCTCCCGCGGGAGATGTGGTGGCATCTCCAAAATTTTGGATATGTGACACAGCTGATTGATTGATATCTGATCCAATGTTTCAGTTATTATTCACCTTGAATGCATAGCTTCCGAAAGACTTTCACCATCGACTGGTACACCAGAGTGATCTTGAAAGTCTTGTATCATTAATGGAATTTGTTTTAATACTAAGTATTCAGCTGCTTCTTTCAATAATTTTATATCAGCTGCTGTTTCATCAGGCTAGAAAAGCAAATCATTGACATTTGGATAAACGAGTAGAATTGAAACTTTTAGTTTTAAATACCGTTTGATCAAGTGTTACATATGGTTGAAATAAATCAGGATTAAAACGAATGTCAAACTCGTTATCTTTTACTGATCCAATCGAACGACATGCTGATTGAATTATTTCTCGGCTATTATCTTCAACTAAAAATTAAAATTATAATACTCTTAATCATGTTGATCGATTGATTCATTCAATCTATTTTTACCACTGATTTCATTGACTATACGTTTAGCTTCTTCCACGTTGGCTTGTTCAGTAGTTTCGCTTGATGCAGCCTAGATTATAAATAGTATGACCTTGTAAATTAATGATAAAACTTAAAAGACATACTTCACCAGATCGTAGTTTTGATAAGTTGAGTGCTATTGAACGATAAAAATCTACATATTTTTGTCTAGACATGAAATAGAATTATTATATACTAATAACGACAAAAAATAATCTTACTCAACAAAAGCATCAATTAATTCTTGTCTTAAACAACATAAACGATGCTTATATGTTTTTGGATAATCAAGTTGTTTCATCGCTGATGATATATGTTCAGCATCAACTAAAGATGTTAAAACAAAATGTAAATAATGAAATTATTCACAAACATTTGCTATGAACAATCAAAAACTATTGCAGTAATTGATTAGAAGACTATTTTATCGACGTTTCTAAGTTCTTAGTCACTTACTTTGTACTACATCAACAATAAGAATAGATACTCTTTTTTAGAGTCGTATCAAATCTCTAGTACACAGATATAACTTTTAGATCAAAAAAAGTGAACTCATGTACTTTTTATAAACACTTCATCATGTATTGTAGTTAATTATTGAATATCTTAGGGAAAATTTATATGGTACTGTAAAATTTCTACCATAGAACAGCCCCATCTAATTAATTCACATCAAACTGATTAAATAATTGTACCTCATGATCGAGAATACAATATATATATCAGAGATGAACTTAAATTTCTCTAGTTTATTTTTAATAGAAATGGATTACTTGCAACTGAATATTTATACTTGATAGAGCTAAATAAAAAATAGAACAAGACGGTATGTGAGTATTCGGTCAACAATATTGAGCCTATTTATGTTCTTCGTTATCTTTCGATTCGTCTATCTCAGAAATGATTCAGCCAACAAATTTTTATTTCATTTCGACTAAGAAAATATTTATTTACTTGATAAATAGTTAAGATCAGGTGGTGCCATACGTAATAAATCTAATAAATAATGTCTTCCGTCATTTCCAACTATGCCTTTACATTCGACAGCTGTCAATAATTCTATACTATTTTCTTTTTCTGTTTTAACTGAATGTGGTTTAATTTTGAGCATAGTTGAAACTTTTCCCAATAGATCTTTATATTTGTCATTTGTTGTACAATTTTTACCAAAATCTGTTGATCCGTACACAACACTTTGTTCTTGCTCTTTTTCAAGAATACCTAAAACATGGAAATCAACAAAATACGTGCAACTATCAAGAGAAATTTTATTTATTTATTTATGACTACATAAATATATATATATGTATGAAATTATTTCTATGAAAAACATGATGTTATATTAAATAAATAATCAATACGATAAATCGAATATTTCAATGGTATCAAACGATAAATATTCGAAAAATCTTTGATACATTCTGTTCTTCGATTGTAATGATTAATTTTACTCGATAAACTTTCTTGACAATTGTAACAATAAAACGTTTCTCGATGGCCTATTTTAATCGGACTTTGTTTTGTTAAATAACTTATTAAGAAATTCATCGCTATATCTTCACAATTCATATTTAATTGAACGTATTGACGTATTTGTTCAGACATTATATTCGGATAGAAATCTAAATACCAACGATGTAGAAAAGCAGCTCCAGTAAGTATCATTGAATATGAGCACGATGATGATGATGCATCATATTCTGATGTGTTTGACTTATGTGAACGTGAAATAAAGCCAACATGATGCGAAGGATTTTCTTTCCATACACGAAATCCATATTCAACTTCATCCTGCCGTAAAAAACTATCATTATCTAGAGATAATATACAATCAGTATGAACAAATTGATTCCATGGTAAAAAACGATTATTTAAATTATTCGATAAATTAAATATATAAACGATTTCAACATGTACAGATGGTAAATATGAATAAAAGTCACCGAGAAAATCTTTTAATGAAAGATTTTCGTTTTTGGAATTCTCTATAGGATCAATTTGATTGAATAGAACTAAAATACGATCAAGATTTATCAATCCGTTTAATTGTAGCAATATACGATTTAATTGATAAAAACGTTTTTTATGTGTTAAAATAAGAATTGTGTATTTTTCATTTGAAGATTGCATTTCAAATGGATTCGTTTGCGTTTTTGAGCGATAAAATGGTTGATATAAACGATTCCATTGATCATAGAATGTTGGTTCTACATAGACTAATGGTTTTGTATCTGATTGAAAATTAATATGATCCATTAGACCGATTGGCATTCGAGTAAAGTTGAAATTTCGTTGATGAATTAAATAATAGAAATCTTTTTCTTTTATTAAACGATCTCTTTCTTCAATGAAGTTCAAATCATTCGATAATGTTGGTAAACGATGATTTGTACGTAAATACGCAACCAATGTATGAAAACGCCGTTCAAATGTTTGAAAATAAATCGTAAATAACCATGATAGAGATGATGATGGGTGTGACCAATCAATAACTTTTGAATATGGAAGATAATTTTCACAATTAAAAACAATTACATGAATTTGGTGTGCAAGAAGTTTAAAGAAGATTTCGTAGAATTCATATTGAATTGCAATAGAATACGATGAAGAACAGATAATAGATGTAATAGAGATATTTTTCTGGAAAATTCTTTCATAACAAGATCGATGAAAACATTCCAATGTTGTTTCATATTCATTTTTTAATCGTTCATACTCATACGTAACATTAGTAGCTAAAATGAAATTGAATCCATTTAAATGAATGAACAAAAAACCAGAGTTACTATTACACTAATGGATGAACTTTCCTTTTTTGTAGGGAAAATCTCTCATGTCCATATAATATACTAACTAGGATAAGTCTTACAGTTGAGATGATTTTTGGTAACTATTATTAAAATAACCCTTCTCTTGAAATGTACATGCGGTTCTTGCAGAATATACATAGAACTTTAGTTTCTTTATTCGAAGGATCAAAGGATTGACAGAAGCTTAGAAAAAAGTCTGTAACAGATGTTCAGTGAAATCGAACCGAGGATCTCAGGCGAATGGAAACAACGAGATTAGAGTCATTTTTTTATCATTTTGGTCTCAGTTCCTCATATAAGATGGTATCCTCGAATTGTGAGTCTATGAAACTTTTCACTCTACTCGACGAAATGTTCACATAAACATTTCTCTCGTATTTATCGATGATTTTATATATTTTTCAAAGCACCAAAAGTTTTTTTTGTGAAACTTACAATTACAATTTAAATAAATAATACCAATATGTGTTTTTGGTTGTTCATTCAAACGCCAACGATCATTATTAACGTATGTTTGATTTGTAATAAATTGATTATAAAATTTGATAGGAAAAAAATTTCCCTGAAAACATCTTTCATCAATATCTTCATCAGTATAATTCAAAAATTCATATAAAACAAAATATTTTTTATCAATCAAATCTCTATAACAAATATTTCGTTGATAGGATCGTATTGGTAGATAAATAACATGTAAATATGCTTCACCTTTGTTTAATGTTACATAAGGACTGTTAATTATTGAAATGTTGAAATGAAACTTGTTCAAAATATCATAATCAACACCATTTGAAATATTAATCCAATGAAAATAGATGAGAAATTTCGTTTGATTATTACGAAAATTTCTTTCAAAATCCAAATCAAATGAATTAAATCGAGAGATTTTTTTCTGTTGTTGTTTGTTATAATCAATTGTTTTAATTAAACGCTGTAAATGCCATGTATATTTGAATAAATGTTTTTCAATTTTCGTTAAACGATTTTGTATCGACGATAAATTTGCTTGTTTTACACGTATTAAACGTTCAAGTTGTGGTAATTCAACAAGTAGCGAAGTATAAATACGATGTTCATCAGTAAGAAATGATTTTCTTATACTATTATACTTGTATATTAATAAAAAACTTGCGAATATTAAAACGAAAAATAACCATCGTTGTCGACGAAGATAGATCAACGTCATTCTACATGTGTGGATACATGTGCAGACTAAGCACACCCCCAACAATGAAATCAATATCTATTGGTTTATGAGCACACCATCATTAATGGAGAGAAAAAATGTGCATGCGAGAGAAACAGAAATGAAAATATATGTATATGTATGTATCTAAGTCATACAGAAACAGAAAGAAAAAGTCCATGTGACATAGATGAACAATTTTATCATATTTTATCAAAAGTTTAGTCAATAGAATATGCCATAATTATTTGCATACAGTTAGAGCTATCAAATCTTAATTGTCAAATATTCGATACAAATGAGATAGAAATATTTCTATAATCGTATGCATCTTTGACGTGCACAGCTGCCCTTGTGAAATAGAATAATTTGTTGGTAAAGTTATTCAAATCAAATTTCATTTTCAGACAACAACATTCTGTCCAATTTTATTCTATTAGATAGCAACTTTCTCATTCATTTCATTTGTTCACAAAAAAATACTTTCTAAGTTTAACTTTGATCTTACAAACGACCTACTCAATAAAAGAAATAAAATTTGATATGAAGACATTCTAAATGTCGATTCAGCTACAACATGGTTTCTTATATGACTGAAGAACTTCTCTGATCGTCGAGCACATCTTACAAATGCAAGTTCATGTTGAATAAATGTGAAACACTCGTACCATTTCATTGTATACAGTTCAATCTTATTTTTAATTCAGCAGCTATAGTTACAGTCAACATTGACTTCGAATTGTAGATCCATCTTTTCGTCATATGACTATAATAGTACATTGCAGTAAATATTTCAAAAGCTAAATGAGGTACGAAACGTGTATTCAAGATATACGAAATTTTCGGGGTACGGAGTATGATATATTTGATAGCTCTGTGTACACTGTTGTGATCAACTAGCTATTTTGTTTTCATCTAAGTTGTTTGAAAAGCCTGTTTAAAAGGTTTTGAAACTAAATGATTACATGTAAACAAGCGAGGTTATTGCGTTCCTTGAATACTCTTTAATGTAGCATATAGATTTATGCTATTATATACCCAGGTCGATCAACTTGTGTCGTACACGGCCGCTTGGTATGCACTGTATTACGGTCGCTTGGCATCATGCCATATACGATCGTATACTGCAATATCCGACCATATTACGGCCGTTAGTAGCCGTTTACGACACGGCGAAATACGGCCGTAATACGGCGCATGCCAAAACGTCGAATTACGGCGATTTACGGTCGGAAACGTTATAAAACGGTAGTAAACGTTGCCGTATACGATCGTATCAGGTCACCGTAATGTTCGACCTGGGTAAAACTCAGTTTATCAATCTTGTTAATTTTACCAAAGATTTTCAACGCTAACACAGTTTCTACCATGAGGAGTATCAATCTACAGTACATATAGTATGCAAATGAATCCATTTAGGATAAAATTATATATATATACAAGACTTTTACATGCGCACATTAATAAATCCCACATTTTCGATGCTGCTTTTCAGGATGTATAATTTTTAATTTATTAGTAAATATGTTTTATAGTTCCCCAGGTCGAACATACACGGTCGTATACGACGGTAAATCGCCGTATTTGGCCGTATTACATGGCTCCGTATTACGATCGTAAATCTCCGTGTCGTATACGGCGAAATACGGCGCTTTNACACACGTATATATAGGAGAGAGATAGAAGAGAGACAAGAGAGAGAGATATTACACCAATGGAAAGAGAACAGAAGGAAGAGGAAGGAGAATCATCGAAGCGTGCAATCAATATCGGCACATACGGCCCGTATTTCACCGTATACGGATGTCGTAAAGCTCGTCCTGGGTCTCTATACATTGGTTGATGTGCTTCGTGAATACTCCACATAATAATCCAAAATAACATTTACTATTCAAGAAATGATACCTAAAACAAAACTTAATATCCAATAAGGTATATTTCCAATGATTCAAAATATCTATTGAACGTTTATGAACTTAACGATATTTCCAGCATCCGTTATGCTAAAGCAATAGCAGAGAGAAAGATATAACAACGTACATTGTTAAAACAAAGTGAGTTTATTTGGTTTATTTGAAATAAATGTTCAAATTGTCTTAAATTGCCTTTCGCCTGTTCGTGACTATCAAATAATGTTTATTTTTACTTTACTATTTGTTTCGTTAGAATTTTTGTGTGCTAAAATTATATTTTTGAACTGTGGATGATTAAAAGTCAAATGAAACATATGCTATACCTTTCACCTCAAATCAAAAGTATCATTAGCATCTAGAAAAAAAGACAAAATGCTCAATTTTAGTTTAAACACAGATATCATTCTTGTATAGCATCAATATAACTACAATTATTTATATAGACTGTTGATTTAAAACTTTTTTGTGAAATTTGTGTCACACAATATAAAATTCAAACACCTATGTTAGGTTCACCTCATGTAGTACATTTGCACGAATATCACATCAATATGATGCAGTCGTCAAAAACAAAATGATTAGTGGAAAGTATTAGGTATATCATGGAATGTAATCTGATTGGTGTAAATAAGAAAGGATATGCTACATACACTATTGTATGTAGCGTGTGAATGTAGCTTATCTTAACCGGACTATTTCCCAATGAGTTGACGATAGATGATAAGAAATTGTATTCGTGTGCAATTTAAAAATATGTCTTCATCGAAATTACCATACTAGGTAAAAACTAAACATCTTAGTCATTAAGCATATGTGCTTCATAGTTTTGTTATTTGCTTCTTGTCCTCGTCTGATTCATATCTTTCCTTATTTGGTGATTGAAAATGGCCGAATCAACGTTTTGGCTCTGTAGACACGAGCCGTTTTTGTGCATGGAAACTAAGACATGATCAATGGTGGCTAATAAACGTCATGTTTAAAAATACTGTCTATTTTTGAGCTTGCTTTTATAATTTAACCGGTAAGAGTAGTATATAAAGACCTTGGTTATGTTGTTTTTTTTTCATTCAAAAGTATTTTCTCAATCTAATTTCTACTTGCTTATTTCTTTCTGAGCTCTGTGAACAACTATTCATCACCGCTTTCGTTTTTTTTACCAATCTCAACATTTACTCTTAACAACCAACACTGTATATATCATGTCTGGATCGGTAAGTGACCCTATCGTTTTCTCTCTATTTTTTTCCTGCTCGCTATGTATGTGTCTGTCTAAACAAGAGAGAAAGGGAGAAGAAGAAGAAGAAGAAGAAGAAGAAAAATCGCCCACGAATAAATATCTGCAGTGTCTGAGAGAATATGCCCGATATTGATGACGGATGATAATTATAGTTGTCTTATGCTAGAATGCTTAGCTGAGACAGCGAGTATGCTCGACCGTATTCTTATTCTTTTTATGAATCATGAATGCATATAGCTTAGCATCAGCGAACTATGGGCGATTGTTTTTACTACGTTGTATCCTGCAAAAGAATAGGATAGAGAAAAAGAAGGAAGAGAAAGACAAATAGAGACGATCCAAAATAGCGCACTACCATCAGTTGTACAGTTCCATTTTCTTTTTCTTTTTCTCTCTTCGACTAACATAGACAACATAAACTACGTAGCTTACAATGGTAAGAAACACGTGTAATATTTATCAAAAAAAAAGAACTCTATAAACTAAGAAACATTTTTAGCATAATATGGTGGGTGAATTTAAAAGAAGTCTAGATAGGTTTGAATGAAGTGAAATTCTTAAATACCCTTTTAGTTAGGCAAATCAAAAAAAAATAAAGAGAGCATTTCCAAATATTATTTCTTTTTTCATACAAAATTATGTATTTTTGTTCTTCATTTTATTTTTTATAGGCATCTGGAGTTAAAGTCGATAATTCAGTCATTGAGAAATTTCATGAATTTAAAATAAAAAAACAAATTGGTTATCTTGTACTTGGCTTCAGTGATGATATATCAAAAATTGTTGTGCTCAAAGAAGGTGCGAATTCAGCACCCCAAAATGCACCGCCAGATGACAAAAGTAATTGAACGAGCAAAATTCTTGAAATGATTATTTTTCATATTCTAATTTTAGATAAAAAATGGGCTGAAATGCTTGAATATTTGCCAGAAAATGATGTACGATATGCTATAATTGATATGTTCTATGAAACCAAAGAAGGATTACGTACAGAAATTTATTTTATTTCATGGTAAAGAAATTCTTTTTCATTCATTGTCATATGTATTAATTTCATCTAATATGGTTTCTAGGGCGCCAGATACAGCAACAATCAAACGTAAAATGTTATGTGCATCAAGCAAAGATGCTTTAAAAAATGCCCTGCAAGGTATTCGTAATCATTTACAAGCAACTTGCAAATCGGATCTTGATTTGGCTGCAATTATTAATGACAAAGTCAAATCTAAATAGAACAACAATATTTATTTGAAATATACGCATGAAAAATAAATAAATAAACATTCTTAATCCGACGTTCTCTCACTTTCGCTCTCTCATTTCTTTATGTATTTTGATCACCGTCTACACAAAAGAAAACGTTTGTGCTATTATAATTATAATAATTATTACTTCTTCTGTCTTTATTATCTTCTCATCTTTTTTTTTTGCTATTTTACATAATGTGGTCTCTTCGTTTTTCATGTAAAAGCAGAAAACAAAAGATTACAGTAACCAAACACAAAAAATATCCAATTCAATATGAATGATAAAAACAGCAAACCGTATACTTTATGTGTTGCCATTTTTTCCAAGTGTTCCTTTTTACCTGCTTTGTTAAAATTGTGCCTGATGTGGCAATAAAACACAAAGACACAATCTATCTATAGTATTGAATCGTATGAATTCAATGCCCATACGAATGTTGCTGACAAATGTTGATTCTCCTCGGTTTTTTCGTCTTGAATTATTTTCTCCTTACAACAAATGGACTGCGAACGCAAAATGTAGAGAATCATAGTAGACGCAAAGTTTTATAGGCCTAAACCTGTACATATAATACGGCGACATGTACCATATGGAAAACTCTATTAATAATTCGATATATTCCAACGCCGATGATAAATGATCGAATGCGTGTGCTGTTTTTATAATAGGCATATTATTTTGTGGGATTAAGTTGTCCCGTAACTGGACAGATGCTAGCGACAGAGTTCACCAATAATTCTCTCTCAACTTCAAGCTGCTCCGAAGGATTCGAGTCATCCTTAGAAATGTTTGTACAGACTATCTACAAAGATGTGAACAGCCAGAATGAAGACTTCTTTTAGAAGAAATTTTATTGTCAAGCTAATCAGTTGTAGTGAAGAAAAAAATATATATCCGTGGTTTAAAGATCTTTGCTCTTTTTGAATGATATCTTCGAACCCTGGATATCATTTGAAAAACATTCAGATTATATAAGTTAAGCCATTTAAGATACTTTTGCCGGTTTCATAGAAGTCGTGTCAACAGTGTAGAGTGCGATAAAATACATTTATAATATTCCGCCTACTACACGTCAATTTGCAGCTAGCTTAGACCGCAAACTATATATGAAAAACACTTTGCAGATTATATTTGACCTTCACTGAATCGATAATCACTGTCGTGAGTGTTTTTCCTCTGATGAAAAAACTTGCTCGATGCACAAATTTTATCGTGCACAAACTCTCGTTTTTAAAAGATGCACGAAAATTTCCATAAAATAATTTTCTTACCGAAAGTGAACTATTTTTTAATTGAAAAAATAGCCGTCTGACGGAAAAAATATTCATAGACGAATAGTTAAAATCATATTTGTAATTGATATTAAAAGTAGTGACTTTTTGTTAAGATAAAAAACATAATATCTAGTGTCTAGTTAAAACATTTCCAAGGAACATGCTGCCAGTAACGATTACACCCAGAAAACGTCTACGCTAATCATTTTCCATTGCTAACATTTACTATATATCTTTGTGTTAAAATTATAAATTAAAACATTATTTAATACATCTTAAACATATATTATGTCTATTTTGTTGTACTCCAAAACATATGATGCTATTAAGAGTACTCGAAGGTTTTTTCTCATACTTGTTTTGACTTATTATTTAAAAATAAAACTTAGGGATTATATATAATAGGAAGTTTCTCATTGCTTATTGAACAAACACTTAGAGGATGTGAGCGGATACATACATTACTGGCAGCAGTCGTCGGTGATCCTTGTGATATATATATATATATTACAATTTATCACTACATTGATATATCGAATGTAGATAGTGTATTTTGCTAACCATTAGTTTCAGTCTGTTGACAGCATTTACATTTGCTAGTATTTTCAATGAAAAATGAGTCAGTAGTTTGTTATTCTAACATATAAGTTCTACTATATTTCTTGATAATCTTCGATCCCGAGACTATCTGAATCGTTAATCTCAGTATTGTACTTTATATAATAGGTTTTTTCCGTAAAGATTACAATACTAATCGCGTAGATTTTAGTTTGATGTGCATATAAGTAAGAATATTGAGGATGTGGCATTTATGTTCTTTAAATTTTCTCAATGTTCTATCGAAGCTCACTAAACAAATGATTGACGGTTGTTGTATTTATCATTGCACGATCGAATTTAGACTATTCGTTTTCTACTTTAGTGTACAGATAAAACTTCGAGTTTCCTTCGCCATAAGTCGTGACAGAAACTTTCTTGGATGGAATTCATCAATTAAGTGTTATTTTAATATGCGAACTACCTGATTGTTGCATTTGTGAAGGATCATCTGAAAGCATGGTGAAGAAATTAGCCACAGAATAGATAGAATCAAGCAATATCATTAAGATAAACAACTGCGCCTCGTTTGACATATCCACCGCATATGATTGTTCGAACAATTTTATATTTAGTTGATGTTCTTCATTTTAAATAATAAAACTCTTATCAAATTTTCAATTGTTCTCCGCAGAAAAGGCTTAACTATAAACTAATACTACTTTTAATGTGTTTCGAAACATACTGCGTGATTATAATGGTTTTTAGTCATTATCAAAGCACCCAACATCAGAAAAATCCATGATCCAGTATTTCTACGCTCCATTGTTTTCATACAGCTGATCTTCAAGAGTAAAACAAAAAAGGAAATCTTTCTTTGGTACCGTTTAAAATTATCATCATCTTTCAATCTCACAGATAAATTTTACTGTGAATGCTTCGTATGACGCTTCTGAACGTATCATCACAGTAAACCTAAAAGTGTGAGGAAATGAGTATCAAGCATTGACTGTAAAAGCTTCTGTTGTGATGTAAGCTCATCGGAAATTTATCTGAAAAAACGATATGATTCAGCCCATGTGATTCAAACCGGAAAAAACCGGCAGTTCACCTTTCGGTATAATGTGCGCTCTACCGCCGGTATATCGCCAGTTTTTCATGAAAGTGATGCATCCTTTTGCATAGTATAGAAACGACTGAATGTTTTTTAAGTCTGTTAAAACCGGCAGAATCGTGTTGAATTCGGAGCACTCTGATTATGCCGATGCGCCTGAGCCGCCTGTAGTAGCCACACCTCTCAAATCAGTCACATTTATGAGATAAATATTTTATTAAAGATGTTGCTGTAAAAATAATAATTCTCAAAATATATACTACAATAGTTTTGTTTTCGATTAATTCGAATTCTTTTTCAGAAATAAATAGGGATTTGACACAAAAAACCGGTTTCTGGAAACCTTTTTAACTGGAACCGGAGCTTACAAGCGCTACCGCCGGTTATTATGAGTACCGCGTTATACCGGCGGTAGTGACAAAAACTGTGCGACATGGGAGTTCAATGCCATTGACACGGATTCGCATCCACCTTTTTAATCAACTCATTGAATTCTATAAATATCCAAACAGTTTCATTTCAGTAGCACATTTGTTTTTTCGAGATATTTTATTATTCGGCTCGGAGAAATGGTATCTTATGAAGTTTACATTTTTACCAAAAAATTATAAAAGAGCATCGATTTTTTATTATACTTAATTACCGAAATCTAAGTAAGGCTTGAACACATAAATACAATCGCACCGCAAAAGGAAGTACTTCTTACATGACGCTTGTTATGGTTGATTGTATTTGGGGCATTACACTTTTCTGAGTCAGCTACCTTTGATTTCATGACGATACGATGATTACTTGATGGTTGATTGCGTCGCTTCTTGATGCAATTTTTATTTTTCTTACTATTTCAGCGCGTGATCTGTTTATGTCATTGCATAGTTATTTTGTTTACAAGTATACAGTTTCTACGATCATATAAAATGTTCGCATTTTACTTATACTAGCAATCAAATAAGTGTAAAGTATAAAAAATATAATTCGTCTGACCTAATACAACAACTATGGTAGACAATGATGGTGTATTATATATTGTCTGAATACAAAAAAACATTCAGTAAAAATATTCACCATGCAACAAGTGATGATAAAATACGTATTCCAAACGATCGATCTTTGTACGATGAGCTTGAACAGCGTAATTTGCTCAAACGATTTCGAGTTGCTCCTGGCCTCGGCATTCATTTGGTTAAAGAAGGTGAAATAGGTCTAGCCATGTTAAATTCAGCTCCGAGATTTCTAGCACCTGGTCGATACACATTTATTTCTCCATTCAGTCATTTTCTTGAAGCAGTCAAAATTACTGGCAAATTAATCAAACTCGGTAATATTCAAATTGTAACAGTGAATCAAGATGAGATTGGTCTAAGTATTCGCAATGGAGAAACTATTCTGCTCGATCCAGGTCGATATATCTTGACAGCACCACATATCTTCGAAAGCAGTACTGCAGCAAACGCTCAATATATTAAATTAGGAACGTATCGACGAATTACTGTGCCCGTTGGATTTGTTGCCGTTGCATTTGATGTTGGAAAACAAATTATTATTCGGCCAGAAGATACTGAATCAGGTCCGTTCGAAACAAATTCACCCACATTTCTCTTTGATGAAAAAAATGGATTTCAATCTGTTCAACTTCAAGTTCGAGAACTCGATGAATTGAAAGTTAACACACGAGATGGAGTTACAATCACAGCCAAAGGTTTAATTACGTATCGTATTCATGATCCACGAACATCATTTATGACTGTACAAGATATTCATGGAGCAGTAAAACGAGCAGCTGAAGCTACTCTCACTTCGCTCTTTCTCAATGCTGCCATCGATGAAATAGCTCCACCTGTACCACAAAAACTAAGCGACGGTCTTATACAAATGAACACTGCCATTGAAGGTGAAAACTTCAATCAGCACATTCGTGATGCATTTCTTCATGATTTTTCACACAAAGTCAACCAATGGGGTATTGAATTGCAAGATCTCAATATTGAAAAACTTGAATTTGATAATAGTGTAAAAGATTTACTACGAAAACGTGCTCAAGCTCATGTTGAAACAGCTACAAGTTTAGCCAATATGCGTTCTCAAACGAATATTGCCATACAACAGGCTGAACGAGAAAAACAACAGGCTCAAATTCAAGCTGAAGCCGAAGCGTTTGTTACTCGAACCAAGGCCGATGCTGATTTCTATGCGGCCAAGCAGCATGCTGAAGCAGCTAAAGTATTGCAGGAAGTTCCATTGTCAGCTCAATTGGAATTGAAGCGACTCGACGTAGAAATGGTTAAAGCAACGGGTGATCGAACAACATTTATGCCAATGAATTTTAGTATTGGTGATGTTGGAATGAATGACAAACAAAATGGAAAGATGTATTTTGCATCGAACCAAGCAGGTCTACTATGACGACGGGTTAACAATTGGACGCCTTTTATTTTATGTTGACACATTGTTTTCATTTTTATCAGTGGGACACACGATCTGCATCACATCTTTTTCTTGCTGTTTCATTGTGTTTCTCATTTCCTACACTTACTAATAATGTATAGAAGTGGTAACACATAACAACCAGTAGAAGTATTTGCAAATTTTTTTCTATGCATTCAGTGAAACATACCGAGTTAGAAAGGACTATATAAGAGTAATAGTTACACCATAGTGTGTTCATATGCAGTACTTTGACATCAGTTGAAGAACTGTGAAGATATTATCCATATGAATAATTGCAGTCAATGTCAACGATTCAATGGCGTCATCATTGAAATAAAATCCGGTGACAATGTTCAAGCGTTAACACATTGTTTTTGTTTACTTCGTTAAATAATGCCATTTTTGATTGAAACGATTTCCGATTGAATCATTATAAAAATGAATGAACTCAATACATCTATCCTAGCGAACTTCAGAGAACCTATCACAAGAACCTACTTCTAGGGAAAATAAAAGCATTGCATCTACAAGATCTTATGCTTCCGAATATTTTCATAGATTTCATAAAGTGTATTGATATTGTTGTCCGGCCATTCCAAATTTTTTCTCGTATCATCTTCAATGATACATACTGTTTCAATCAAAGTGCTAGATGCTACGATGTTTCTACGAAGTACTAGAAAATCCTGTGCTGTAGATTTCATCCAACATGCAGTGGATTGTAACTAAAATATCATCTAATTGAAGAAAACAAAATTGGGATTTTTTTCAATGAATAATTTCAATGCCAAAATAATAAAATTGACTAAATTGGATTCTTCTATTTCAAGTTTATAATGCATCTGCATTATGAAAGTAAAAATATTTCTCAATTAATGTCACACACAAAAAAAGACACAAATGCGGAGTGCGTACCCAGTTCTTTTACATTTTGTGAGTAGGTTTGTATGAAATTACACAACCAAGATGAAACTTTCTTTCAAGCGCGTCACCGCACGCTGAATAATAGTTTACTTTTCCTGAATGAACTGATGTAAAAACCGGTGCCATTTGCTTTGTGCTGAATGTTTTGAAAAACGTTTTTATTCAATAAGCACGAAACGATGAATGTGTTCAGATTGAAATACACCTTCACAAAAATCCTTGAATTCTTTGCTTTAAAATCAATTTACGAATAACATGTGCGTACGATTCATTCTACTCAACAGTTTACCAACGATTCTCAATCCAGAAGACGAACTTCCCCATGTGGTTCGTTGCGAAAATATTGAACAAGTACCAGTACTTCTCAACAGTAGTTCAGAATGTCATAAAATTTTAGTGTGCCGACCCAAACGTCTTGAATCATTACCAGGCTATTTAACTGATATATCGCTTCATCAAGTTTTCGTTCATGATACTTTTACTGACACACAAGGTGTAGCAACCGAAATTGAAGCCTACGAGGATGAACAAAGAATTCATGACCTTCTATTCTTAGCAACAATCGCCTATTGTGACAATCTACGCAAACGGTACAATCAAAGGAACGAGCATGGGCTTGTGAACCTGTTACTTAACGAAATCGATCGACTACTTGAGCGCTTAAAAGCACCTAAAAAAAAACTATTCAAAGTAAATTATTGAAGCCTTTTGTTTCTCTTACACCAAACTTTTACGGGAAATATTCAAAAAAAAGTCCATTTCAATTATTTTTTGTGAATGCTTGAATAAAAAGAGAATTTTTGTTAAGGATTTTTCTATTGTTTATCCTCAAACCAACACATTGTAGTCACAAACTCGTTCAAGTAGTTATTTCAATCTAAAATACTATCGAGTTTGTCATAGCAGAATATTCTCAATCTTATTATGAACAGAGAAATTTATAGGAAATAGATATCTTAACACTCAAAAAGATTTAAAATTTTATATATCATCTGTCGAAATCATAAAATATTTCATTCTGAGAGTTGTTAAATCAAGATTATTACTAGAGGGCTTTTTCCAGCAAGTAATGCCCGATAACAATCATTGCATTGTATGTTGAACATGAAAAAGTAACCTCTCCTTGAAATGCTTTCTCCTCAAGAGATTAGTGAGCAGAACGAATCACTTGCATAATAACGTTTTTCTCGCCTAATTCACCTCCGCATGTCTAATGAATGATTATTTGTCATTGACTTCGAAGTATTATCATTTCACAGACTAATATACTCTTCAGTTCAATGAATGTCATATAAAATAGTTTGAAAATTATGTTAAAACTGAAATTCTATCAAAACACAAAATCATCAAAAAAAAAACAAAAGAAACTGACACAAGAAAAAGATAGTGTACAAGCGAAACATAAATAACCGGTTTATCAGCGCTATAAAATTAGATATCATTGTTTTTCAATTAGTAAAACGAAATAGTTCAATAATAATTACAGTTAATACTACAAATAGACTTCGATGCGTCACGCGATCGGCATTCGAACATTTCGAAAATAAAGTTTTGTTTTCTCCGTCGTGTACAAAAAAACATTTATGCGGCCGTTCACGGTACGGTGTTGTTTTTAAACGTGTACACCATTCTTCAGGCGTAAATTCGACTGGTTTACGTTTTATTATTAATTTTTCACATGATAAAGATGCTTCTGTGGAATGATTTGCATAGATCAACATCAAATTACTCTTGGGAATTTTCGATATTGAATAACTGAAATTAAAGAAAAACAAACAAAAATAATTGAATAATTGTCATTAGAAATAACAGTAGCACAAGGAACGAGAGGGATGAGCGTTCCCAGTTGGATGAATTTTCGACGGACTATGATCGAAAAGGACACGATTCCGGTTTGGAAAACTGAAGGGATTAGTACGAAGTTAGAAATAGATATTCGGCAACTGATTTTTTCACTTCGGTGATAAACTGGTATAAAGAAATCTGACCGTTTTCCGATCGGAAAATATCCTATACTTCTAAACTGGAGTGTCAGTTTTTATTTACTTTCTGCAACGCCACCACTGAATAGAAGAAAATATCTATTCTTACCTGTATGATTCAGGAGCCAACACTGGTGGTACTATTGTTGAACCATTTGTTGAATTAGTTGTATTTTCATATGAATCGTCAGAATTTTCTGGAGCTTCTTTTACTGAAAGCGTACAATTAACTATTCCATATATTGTATTCTCTTTTTCAACTTGTTCCCACGATACTCTATTATCTTTCGATGGTAACGGCCCTTGCCATCCTTTCCATGTAGATACATACAAATTAAATTCTTCAATACATGCTTCAGGAATTTTCTCGATAGTTTCATCATCTTTAGTTGTATTTAATACTTTATGATGCAATGTCGGATGACGGAAATCAATGTGTGTTAAGAGAATATTACTCAGACTTTCTCGTGTATGGTTTTTACGTATAGGTTTCTCAACGGTTACAGTTTGATTGATGTTATTAGCTTTTTTTGTTGCATAAGACCATTGAGGAAAAAACATAACGTCACGAATAATTATCCTAAAAGATTCAATATTAAATGGCTTAAATAAAAAAAATATATGTAATGTGATTATTTTAACATACACTGCTAAATGATTGATGATATTCCAAAACATCAGTGACATTGCTTGTAGAATCTGTACAAGAAAATCAACTTCAAATATAAAATGAATATTAATAGATACATACGCCACGGAAATAATGGCCAGAATTTTTTTCTAATCGTAATTGGCGCTGTAAACAAACGCCTTGAAAATCGACCATTTTTACTCTAAGAAAAAAAGAAGAAAACACTTCAGTGGAGCACTTAAATTCAAATATATCGCTGATTCATGATGAATTTAAATCTTGAACTGGAAATCAGTTAATTCACTAGAAGATTATTCATGGTAAAACTGATAGAAAAAAAATACTTTGTAGAAATCTTGAGATGATTCACTCGATAATTCTATTGACTTATACTGTTAAAATGTCTATGAATAGTTTTCCGTTCATATGGAGATTGTGACATTTCTAAAACAAGTTAATGAGCTTCGATAACGTAATTATGTTCAATGACTTGAACAAATTACTAAATAATGAACAAACGATCGATTCACAACAGACTTTCCTGTTTCCGAATTGTGAATTCTAACGAATCAGTGAGCATCATCAATAGAAATTCTCATTGAATATGGCCGACTAAGCAAAACTCCTGTTTCAGGTCTATATCATTAGTGGAATATGATCGATATCAGGGATTTGTTCATTGTTTTACTTTCGAATATTTTTTAATAAAATGTTCAATATTAAAATCAATTTATCCTCAAGATAAACTTACTCTGAAAAGATTTTTTTGGCTACAAGATCATACATGATTGATGCTTCAAATTCGCCCAAAAACTTGCCAATATCATCCTGTAATAGATTAATAAGAGTTCATTTATAGAAATTGTCTCTCGCTTTTTTTTTCGCACATACTATTCGATCTTTTCCATCTTGTGGACTAACAAACATAATATAGCCATTTTCATCAATAATATAACATATACCCGTATCCAATGGAGCCTTAAAATGTTTTTCTTTAAATAAAATATAGCTGTGCAAATAACTACATACGCATAGATTTGAAAATTGTTTTGCACGAACTGTTTTATACGGTAGCATAACTCCAAAAACTCCAAATGGAACATTTTGCGCAGTTTGCTTGGGTGTATGAACTGTTTGATTCATCCATATAGCCGTTGTTATAACTAGATACATATGTGATGTCGACATTGGTGTTGATGGTCCCATATTCGCTTCTATAGAAAACACAAACAAATCTTCATTTCTGTAATTGCAAGAAATTCAAAAACCCGAACAGCTTCCCGCTGGAACAATTTACTTGATTTACTTCAACTCTGAAATTGAATCATCAAATATACGAGTGTACATGTAAGATATAAAAGTACATAATTTTGCTAACGCCTTATATGCGAATAGAAATCAAACAAGAGATCTGAATTTTTCTTTCAACACTACTTATCTCTACTCGAATTTGAACGTGACTTTTCTTGAGAGGAGCACATCGGCTGTATTCAATTTTCAAAAACTACCTTCATGTATAAGCACTCGTCAAACATAATCCTTTAACGTGTATCTAGAATTATGATTTTATTTAACTTTCCCACGCGCTTTTAGGTTGTCATTAAAAACTTCGTTCAAATCATTAAACTTTAAAGATTGAAAATTGTTTCATCAAATTGAGAAACCTCTTCGATAAATACAACCAACAAAAATGTCTACCTGTTGCATTTGTATGATTATCAAAACCCATATCTACAAATAGAAACTTTTTTTATTAAAAGAAAACGATCGAAATTCAAATACATACGTGAATTATTTGTTGGTATATTTGATATTCCAAAAAAAAGTGAATAAATATGATGATCACCATGAATATGATCGGCACCGTACGTATAAGTTGCATTTATGGTGCGTTCATAATAACTTGATTCGATTGAATTTGGATTTGCATCACCAAATTGTCTAAGAAAAAAATATTCAATGGAAAAATTATTCAATTCTACCATTTTTACCTTATATGTTCTTCATTAGCTAATTGATATAGTCTCCAATAGGCAGTTATACCTGACCGTGTTGCTAAAAATATCCAATGTAAATGATTTTCATTTTGATATTCTTTAAAATCAAAATAAGCCGATTGATCCAATGGTCTTTTAAATTCACGATCGGCTACACCAGTTTTTGTCCAATTTTCGAATTTACTCATTATATACAATTCTTCAATCATCATGTATATTAATTGTCGACTGGCTTCATATGGACCTAAAAGAATGGAAATATTTTAAAAAAAACTTACAAAATAAGATAAATTAAATTTTATACATGAAGCAATTCGATCAGTTTCAATTTTTTCTTTTAAATAACCGCGAAACGATTCTTCTGTATCGCCAATATCATCTTCAGCCGTCGAATTACAATAAATCCAATCAGCAATACGAACATTTCGTTGACGAATAAAACGAAGAGCTAGAAAACAGAATACAAAAATTAATAGTTTCTAAATTGTAATCATAGCCGAGAGCAGACTTGTTTCAAGGACAGTTTGACACTAAAAATAGTTTTAAAGCACATGTTTTATAAGTCTTTACTAGACGATAGTGAGAATTGACACAAGAAAAACATTAGATGAATAAATACTTTGAGAATTTAAACATCGCTAAAGGGCACTATCACCAATTTACGTGATGGAAAGCATAGAACATTCGACTCTCTATTATAGTAACCATCGTAAGTGTTATTACGAGATAATGGCTATCTAAATGTTATTATTTCAGGTTTATGTTTGGGTATAGGGTTACCAAATTGCAAGAAATAAATTAAGGTTTAATTGATCTACATATATAGCAGTTCGAAAGTCAACATATTTTTATTATTCGCATGAGAATTTCTCCAAATAGCATTCAATCTCCAAGCGTTCGATTTCTCATATTTGAAATTTCAGTTCGGCCTTCATCACCGATAAGCATGCGTGTCAAATCAGTATTCTCCAGTTGATTGATGTAGTTCTCTTCGCCTATTTATAGCATGATAATCGATTAAACATTAACCGGTGATTTCGATTGATTTATTTACTATTTCAGGAAATTTCCCTCGGGTATTGTATTCTAAATAATGAAAACATCAATATACTTTCACACCCACATCTTAAAAATAGATGGAATCAAATATGAATAGCTGTCGATCAATAACCTGATTATCAAATTTAACGATGACTAACACGCATTTTCTAGAAAATAGATGAGTAATCTCTAGTTTGCGTTTGTCATGAAAGTGTTGTGAAATAAAGAGAAAAAATTCCAATATAATTTAACCGTCGGCTTGTGTAACAAGAGAAAAAAAGGAGTCTAAAAACAGCTACAAGAAAATTTCATTAATACTCTCTATAATCGACCCGACACTAATTTTATTAATGCACTAGGCTCTCTTCTTGATTTATTCTATTAGTTGGGAAAGAATGAACTAAATAAAAATGTATCTTTGCAATGGTAGTTAATCTATTTATTTATCTATGCTACTTCACTATTCTCTATTTGCTTGTCTTCGCCTAAGAACATTCAGTTTTACTCTTATATAAAGTTCTGTTTGTCTTGATGTTTTTTTTTTATTGTTCGAACAAATTTTATTATACGGTTTCTAATCTTAGGCATTCGATTTCATAGAAGAAGAAATATAGTTTATAATTTTTCCATAAAAAACTGATATAAAAAATCACGCCTGAGAAATACTGCAGAATAGGAACAAGTACTCGGCAAGCGCACTCATGCATTAAAATAGCGATCAATTAAAATCAGTAATAGAGAATCCGAAGCATGACTCTGCTGACAGTTCGTCTAGTACATTAAGCAAATTTTCGGTAAGGTCTATCATCGTTCTAGTCAACACAATATTTTCAGTGAGAGATCAAATGAAAAAAACAAATTTTTGCTACCAACCTGTTTTAACTTTTTCCGTTGCCGGTTCAACTGTTCGAACTTGAGATTCACCATAAGGAAAACGTAGAACAATACCCAAACTAAAAATCAAACTCATTTATCAAGTATTCTTCTTTGCATTATTCATAATCATACGTGAAAGGATTTGATTCTTTGTCACCCAGTGTTGCATAAAAATAATTTTGTTCAACTACTTCTATTCGTCTCTAAAGAATAAAAAAGACAATATTGAATAAATTTTTATCTTGTTTCAGATATTAAAATTTATTTTACCATATCGTCTAAATGTTTTTTAACTCTTGCGGAACGTTGACTTGCAATCGACAAAACCATATCTTTTCGTATCTAAGTATATAAGAAGTACATTAACTACTGTGATAAAACATATCTTAAAGAAATCGATCTTACGTTTTGAATTTTACTATCTGGTAAAGGCTGTGCAAACAGAAAAAGGAAATATTTATGCATTCGACTAATGAAAAATTATTTACATGGACAAATTTCATAAGATTATATGGAATTTCTACCATATCCAAATCAATGGAATGATAATTTTGTTTACGATATGGACCCAACTAAAAATAATCATTTATTTTTAAATATTTTTGTTCAATAATACGATCTAAATAACATACCACAGGTCGTAAATCTGGATGAAACATAAGATAACCATTATGATTAATCATAAACGAATAACCATGAACACCAAGCTATGAGCAAACTGTTGTTAGTAAAAATTCTTTTTCTAGATAAGATCACATACTCGATATTTGGGTGAAAATTCTTGTAAAAGTTTAACCGGAATGTCAACTCCGACAGCTCCTAATAAAATTGTTTCATCGCGTGCCTATTAAAAATCAACAACAACAATGTATTCATTTGAAATATCTCGAGAACACTAAATATAGTTTATTCAATCGCTTTTAAAATGTAGAATCGTTGTTCGTTTTTCCGTAATGCAGATTAAAAATTTCTACTTTTTAGCTTTTCAAGAGTTATAAACCGATTTACGGATTTAATCAACATTATGTAGGAAAAAATTCTCGGGAAAAATAATCGATTATTTTGAGTCCACTTGCCGTGTTTGTCTTTTTCTCTGTCAAAATGTGTTTTTTTTCCGAATATTAATTCTTGACGATGCAAAGCAGAACAATCTTTTCAAATTATGAATATTTTAGTTAACAATCGAGATCAAGAGATTTTTCTAGAATACTTCTAACTAGAATACTAAAGATTGAAACACTCGAGTTTCCATATTTCAAAAGAAAACAATTTTCACGGTTGAATTCATAGATTAAGACGAGATAATTAATTTTGAATACTTGTAAATTATTTTTTTGTGCTAACGAGCCTCCTGAAAATACTATCAAATGTTGATAGCGAGAGAGAAAGAAAGATGTTCTTGTATATTTTAATATGTCGCAGATTCGACTCAAGGACGATGGAAATCAGCAGGCAACATCTGTTGTCGCTCATATACATAACTATGCAAGTTGCCGCGAGACTTCATTGAGGCATTCTATACTAACGTACATGAAATTGATCTTTTTCTGAAACGGATCTTTAGCACCCTGTAACCATCCGGCTCCATATTTTGTCTTATGACGAGTTAAATGTAATAAAGAAAAGAAACGTTTTTTTAATTCACGCAAAAAAAAGCATTAGCATTTGCAGACAAGTGCGTTCAAATTGCAATTGAAAATCATATTAGTAAGCAGCTTTTTAAAGGCCATATTTATTTTTTACACTATCAATTGTCTCTTCGCATTTCCATGATAATATTTGACACGCGTCAAATCATATAATAGAAATGCGTACAAGCGTAACAGGCTGTTGTTCGTGCATTCCCGGTGGGAATAAACCATGAAACTGCCGTCATTGTTAAAAAGCAAATTAACTAACATTTGTTTTAGTTTATGTGCATTGTCGCCTACTGTTACTAGACGATAATGATGCAAGATGTAAATCACAATTCATTAGAATAATTATAAATAAAAATCAGAAAATAAATATCTTGAACTCATTTGTTTGTTATTTTAATCTTGTAATAGGCGTTCGTCTCAGCGGGTATATCTATTGTGATTCATAGGGAAATAATAAACATATTAAGGTATCTATCACGATATTTGCCGAACGAAAAGCCTTACAACATTGTCTATCACGAATCCACAGAGAACTGTGCTAAAATGCTGTGATTGCAAACTAAACAATCGTTCGGGAGAAATGACTAAAAGCTATTTTTTTTTCATATCATTAATCCCAATAGCATGTGAACTAGATTCTCGCTCAAAAATAAAACCTCTTCAATAGACTAGTTTTTGTTTTATAGTAGATTCAATATTAGGATGAATCATAGAAGAAAGAGTGTGTTGTGAAGCCTATCTCTAGACAGTATGCCATAATTAGATGGTAGCAAAAAGTGCAAGAAGAATTCTTCCTTCTTTATAAAATATATCTCAGATCTCTCGAAGGTCAGTCGATAAAAGTTTTTTGTTTCGATTCCAGTTCTCTTCGCAACTTAATAGGATGTGATAAAATTGTCTATTAACTTATACGAGAGTGCATTCAACACCCTGCAAAACAAATATTTGCTTTCCATTAAATCTACTTTGATCAAAATTACACTGAAAATTGTTTTGACGTTTGGCTTATGCTGCGTGTTCATTGGTTAAAATGAATGAGTCGGATTCGAATTTGTCTCCCTACATATTAACACTCATTTCAGGTCATGTTTCACAACGAGAATGATAATTTATCTTCTACTAAAAACCTTCTGCAAATAAAAAAAAACAATTAAAGCACATCTCATTCATCAATACTACTATAATAAGAAATGAATAATACTTATATGTCGAGTCACGATTGTCTGTGCATTGTGCTGTAGACACTAATGTAATCATATTCACATAATAGCTTTTACTCCTTTTCATCAGAAAATTTTCGGTTTTTCTTTAATAAAAGACAAGAACTATAGAATGATGATGAAACACGATTGCCACTGTATGCCTCCGCTTTTCAAGTGTTTCGTACTTACATGTTCCGGTGGATTTAGAATCGGTTGTGCAATTGAAATCATCAAGTTAACAGGCTGAAAATAGATAATTAATTAAATTGTTCGTTCGCTGTCTAAGTATAGAGTAGTTTTTTTTACCTTCGATTTATTTTTAAACTCATCCATCGATATGGACAAATCAGAAAATTTAAATGGAAACCATTTATATGTTTTTATTGGTAATGTTCTTTCGACATCAAGAAAGACACTACTCCAAACAGTTACATGATCATTGTACATAGCTATCGGGCGCGCTGTTACAGGAATATAATCCTCAACATTTTCTTGAATATCTTCTAATGTTGATACATGAGCAAAATAACCTAAAGATCAAGCCAAGAAAACAATCAAGATTCTGTTTTCATGTTCTTCATTCATAATCACCTTTATTAGCACAAGACATCCATCGAATATGTTTCGGATCGCCTAGTTCTCGTCCAATCATGTAGGTAAATACTCGAGTCTTCAAAACAATTAGAAAAAAAAATAATTTTCTTTTCATTTTTATTCTTACTTCGATCGGATGACACGTTGAAACATTATTTGGATACCAATTTCGACTTTGAAAAACATTCAAAGCAGTTTCTGTAGCACCATCAGTAACAATCATGATCATTTTATTGCATCCTGTACTATCTAAAAATGGTTCTTCATCTTCGGCGTAAGGATTTGCTAAAAAAAAAACAAACGAATGGAAAGTAGAAAAAAAAACTTTTCACCAAACCATTAAAATCGGATGGACAAAATGATTCATGTTGTGCTTCAGTTTGATTATCGGTAGATAAATAATGACATTGACATAATAATCTTGCATTTTCTGTTCGAGATATATTTGTACGGGCACTATCTAAGATATCAAATGCCTTGTTGAGTGCTTTTGAAAAATTTGCTATATCTTCTGTTTTAATATTAGTATTAACTGATGTACGAAATTTCTAAAATATAAAAGGAAAAGAAAGTTTTTTTCTTCTTCGTTAGACTAGATCAGTCATATCAATGAAATGATTAGATACTAAGGAAACGGCCTCTTGTTTTGCTCATGTCTTCGAGGTAAAAATAGGGTATTCCTTTTCTTTTATCGATCTTAATCTTAGATCTATGCAATAATGAAAGTGATTAATTTAAAATTTAAGCTTTTCTAAAAGTAAACTGAGAGCCAATCGTTATTTTAATAGTCGTCAAATCTTGATTAGTTGTATGATTTATTTTAATTGAAAATAAATTTCATTTTTTCCCCTTACATGTCGATTTTCGAATGTTGCTTGAACGAGTCCCTCTCGAAAGCAATCATCGATAAATTCAGCATCCTCTTGAAACTATAATAGAAAAATTAACGAGTTGGTTTATTTACCAAATAAAAATAGAGTTCAGCGATATTTACTTTAATTATTTGCACAAAATCATCGTCTGATAAAGTATCAAGAATAGTTTCAACTGTTTGTATGGCAATTGATTTTTTTAATCCAGTCATCGAACCGCTGGCATCAATTAAAATAATTACATCACGTGGTGATGATGTTGCTCGAATATACCAATTTTGTACCCGACAATCGAATAAATCTAATTTATCTGTGTCATCTTCAGGGTATTCCCATATGTGACCGGGCCAGACACGATACAGACCTGTTTGGCTGCAAAAGTATTGCCATGTCAATTCCGGGTCATGATTATAATTATCTATGAACGCTTGATTTAGATTATAAGACCAATTGGCTGTTAATAGAATTTCTCTATCTAAAAACGAAAACGAAAACATCGATATTAAAATTGCCATTTAATCATCGAGTCTTCTTACTTAGAGAATAGATGATCGTGGGAACGTGTACTGTACTATGTGTTATATTAACAAAAGCGCCGCCGAAATGTTTCTTTTGCTGGATAAGCAATTCTTTCTCTAATGCCCTTTAGGGACAGCGTCAACGTGATAGGATTAATAAAGAAAAAACAACTGAATTTACTTGTATTCGCTTTCTGATTCACTTAACGACTGAGCTGGGTCACCAGATGACATATCATTCATATCAGTACTTGTTGAATAAGTCTCCGTTGTTAATTCATCTTGAGTTATCATCGATAATGAGCTGCTCTCTAAATTTGTCATCGTTGACGATGTTGTGTTGGATGATGAGTTCTCACTCGTACTATTTATTGTAATATTAAGCACATGTTTTGAACTGAAATATCCATATATCTAAACGAAAACAAATTCAATCAAAATGATGATCTCGGAGATCAAACGCAGAACATCCGATATAACTAACCGCCATAAATTTAGCCGTCGCATTTCGTGTTGTATCATCTGTTTCAGCAAATCTTCGATATGATTGTTCACTGATGGTAACTAAATTTCGAATGGCTTCTAATTTTTTCATAATGGCACCATTGGTATAATTTGCCATTTCAAGAACAAGCTCAGTTAGATTACGTTTTTCAATGATAAATGTATTTAATGATTGTAAATATATCTCACGCATAATTCGATCCGTGCTAGTTAATGTTAACGAAGATAGTTGCTCTGTCAAATGAACTAATTGATCACGCAAGTGTTGCTTCGTTTTAATTGACAATGGCAATGCACTTAAAAAGGAAAGAAAAATATCTTTATGACGCGATCTTGTTTTTTTTCAAGAAAGTTGTCTTTACATACGTTTGTAATGAAGTATATGTATTCGAAAATGATACATTAGGGATTTCTCGAACACTTGATGATGCTTGCATATGTCCACATGTGACATGTATTAATAATAAAACGACATAAACTTGAACTGATTTCATCGATCAATACGTATTGATGTGTATTAGCTCACATATTCTTCAATGAGAAAGTTTGCGCATGCTTACAATGGTGTCTTTTCTCTGTCTTTTTCTTTCTGCTCTAGAAGTATCTACGGACTCAGTTAGAAGAAAAAAGCTCGGTCATTTTTTTTTGCTTGTTTCTCACATTGACGTGCACAAATCATATGCACGTCGCAATATTCTAGCGTTTTTTCGCCTGTTCGCCAGTTTTTTTCTTCTTGCAGTCGCTATTTCTGCTTTGATAAAGAGAATTCTTTGTCTCTCTCTCTCTCTCTCTCTCTAGCTGTGTCTCTCTTTTTCTTTCTCGTGAGTTTTTTTATTTTATCAATCATGCCAGTTGCATCATTATCGCGTTACGGAGTGAAACTATTGATCAAAAAAAGAAAAGAAATTTATTGCGCTTATTATCCTTAAGACGATATAACTTTTTCCCGATAGATATTTTTTATTAGCACAATAAATAAATCAGTATATTATTTATTTATTGAAGAAGAAAAAAATTCAACGACTGATGTTGTTTCTTTAGTTTTTGCAGCAGGCTTCATTGATCTTTTTAATTGCTTTGGGAATATCGCTGGATGGATTGATGTCAAAGAATCCATTCGGTTTAAGGGTAAATCCACAGACAACAACAGGCATAACAGGAAAATCTTCTTGTCTTGGAATATGTGTTACACCAAATGTATACCAAAGTACAATATCTCGGTTGACAATGGATCGATCTTGTTCAGTATATTTATGTAAACCTATGTCAGATTGACATTGATTTGGATAATTTCCAGATCCAAACATTTCCTTTTCATGAAAAGGTGTTACCCATACGTGATAATCAACAAAGCTAGCACGTTTACGCCACCAGGCATTTTTAGAGCTCAATGGCATGCAATTCTCTCCTGGATATAATTTATAACCTGTTGGTTGGCCAATTGCATTTCGAGTGGCATTACTTTCAAATATCCATGAACGAGATTTTTCTAAAGATAAATGACTTCTTGCTTGTTTTTCCGTATCGAGTCGTGTTTTATTTATATGAAATGCATTATGAAATCGATTGTATTCAGCATCGTCGGGATCAGCTTCAACATCAACCATATATGCTGTATTATCTATTCCATCAATTGCTAAATCGAGGCGTACATTAAAAAAATGTTGATGATATGCTGAAAACAATTGTGGTGCAATTATTGAACCATAAGCAGATTTCTGGTCGGGTGGAATTGCGCCTAATGAAAGAATACCAGTCATTTTAACTTCAAAATGGATGCTAGCATCTTGATATAAATACCTATAAATAGTTAAAAAGTCGAAAAAAAAAGGTTTTCAGCAAAATTAAAATAGAAAACATACTAGAATAGAGTTTATCTTAGAATAAATTAGTACGTCAAGATTGAAAATCTGTCTTATTTGATTAAATTTCTTATAAATAATTTGAATGTTACTAAAATGATGAAATCTAATTTTTTTTAGTTTATTAAATTATAATTGTATTTTTCGAGAAAAAAAAAGAAGACATTCGAGCAAATCTTTAAATAGACTTATCAATTTACTGAAAAAGTAATTACAACTCAGCCTTCATTCATATTACATGCAGAGAGAAATATTAACAGGCCTCTGGTTCTGAGCTATATCTCATTGATGTAGTCTTTTTCTCTTGTTATACACAATAATGTCTATCATTTTCAATTGCTTTTAACTGTGCCTAACAGGAAATAATATTCTTGCTATATGAAAAAATTATCCTATATGATAAATACTATAATTACCAAAAAAATCCATATTCATAATTTTCAATGGTTGCAATACTTGAAATAACCAAACGTCTACTACGTCGAACCTAGACAAAGAAAAATTTACAAAAAAATATAATTTTTGTTTTCTTTTGAAAAATGACTTCAGGATTATTTAATCGTCGATCTGTATGTTTCCATAAAATTCCTACATCTTCTTCATGAAGACAAATAGCATTTTTAATGACTAATAAGTCTCCTCGACTTGAACACATGTTTGCATCAAAATATTTTATACAGCCAAGACAATCACAACCAAGTTCAAGACTGTTCGTAGAACAACCTAAACCATATTCACCACAATCGAATGCATTTTTTCGTGCCTGCTGTTCAGCTGGATCGCCATAGGGTACAACCATTTCACTTAATGCACCTCGATAGAATACCGATCGATTATCATACGTTAAATTGTGTAGAACTAAACCTTCACGCATTGTAAAACCAACAACAAATGACCATTTTTGCCATGATACTTGATTACCATCGGTTTGAAAACTTGGACCTTCAGGCTGAATGATTTCGAAGGGTCGAATATCGTCACGAAGTTTTTTCACTCGATCCGATGTATAATTAAAATTCAGATAGGGAATTGGATAATGATTATAGATTTCAATACGAATAACTTCCACTATGAAATTAAAATAAGAAAATTTGAAAAAAAAATGAAGACTTTTAAAATCATTTCTTTACTTGTATTAAGATCCACAACAGGTCGTAAACCTTCAATAGGATGTGTATATCCATTATCAGTTGGATCAGATCGTACAAAACATAATGGTCTTGCTAAACGATGTGTACGCTCTTCTTCTTCGCCATAATATCCACTTGACCATATATCAACCATAACCCGATTAACGTCCTCAATACCATAATGTTTAAGTATTAATTCTTGAAATTCAGTGGAACGAAGTACAGCTTGTTCGCATTCCGTTTGTTCATCAATAGTCATTGTTGGTTGAACATTAGGTATGTGTTCAAGTGAAACAATATGGCCTTCATCTTCTAGTAAAATGCGTGCTTCATAACATGAATTTGTTTCATTATTAAAGAGAACAACATCGGCTTCGCGTGTGATCTTTTCCTTTGATTTTGTAAGTATTTTTTCTTTTGCTGGTTCTCGTAAAGTAATAGATACAAAACGTGTTGTTGATGTGACTTTATCACTTTGCTTTTTTAATACATTGACAGCAAGTCCAATTTCAGCAAGTGATAATGGTTCTAATGGATGGCGCGTTTCACTGTTAATTTTAGTAGTTTTTACTTCTTTGCTCGCCATTTTAATGTATTGAGTTCTCACTAGAAATGAAATAAAATATAGGCTTAGCACTTTATTTCTTTTGTGTTCTATATTTCGTTGATTTTTATTTAGACTACTATTTGCATACATTTTCATTTTTTTTTATCGTAAAGCTTTAAGTACATATATCAGGGCAATAAGTGAAAAAGAAAAGATGCAATGATAACATTCGCACTTGAAATCTAAATTGAAGGTGAACACACGTGCCTTATAAATATTTGGTAATTACAAACCAATCAAAATGCATGTCCTTATTTTACCGTAATTAGACCATTGCGTTTCCTTTTTTTTCCGCCGCCTGTTAGACCCTGGCGGTAGAATAGAATCTTTATGTGGATGTTGACACTGAAAATATGGCACTTAAACTGAATCGTATGTCGCACTCAAGACAGAGTCAATCATGCAGTATTTTATAGAATTAGTAATTCGTCACCATGCTAAACTAAGTAGAATCTCTCGATTTCGTTAAAAGTAGAAAAAGAAATCTAACTGAAAAAGTGTGCTAGTTTACATTTTGAAATCTCTCGAACTCTATCACTAGGTCATTGGCAAGTTGATAGGACGACGAAACGTTTTTTCGTAGTTTTGTGATAGTGGGGGGGGGGGGGGGGGGGGGGGGGGGGGGGGGGGGGGGGGGGGGGGGGGGGGGGGGGGGGGGGGGGGGGGGGGGGGGGGGGGGGGGGGGGGGGGGGGGGGGGGGGGG